CAACATGGACTCAGTTTGACAATTAGGGAAGGGGCTGTGACTATTTTTCTCTGGTACCAGGAGGCTCTCCTTCTGGTGGTGCTTAGCAAAAGCTATTTAGGACAACTGTCTCACATAAGGCCTGCTCACTCAGCTTCCAGGCCTCTCTCGGGCCCTCTGGTCCTCCACCTAGAGGACCCCTGCTTGCTCTTCAAACCTGTCGCACAGCATCAGGGTCACTGGGAAGCCAGCCCTTATCCCCACTCAAGCTTAAGTAACCTATATTTATAATTATTTGTTCCATCACTCATTCATTTTACCTGTGTGTTAATATTTATCAAGCACCTTCCCTCTTATGGCCAGCACTGAGTTCCGTGTTGGGAATCCCAAGCAATGAGAACACAGCACACTCCCTACACTCACCTCAACCACAGCACTTATCCTACTGCAAGAGTCTGTTAGTTCAGAGTGGGCACTCGTGAGCATTAACTGAATAACAAGTACTACATTTTCTGTGGTTAATATGTTATTAATACAACAGCCTTACAAAGGTGTTGTGGATTAAAGGTGACTGTCAATTCTTTGACATTTCTCCCATTGAGATGCGAGGTCTGTTTCCACTCCCCTTGAAGCTGCCTGGTCCATGACTGCTTTGACCAACAAACTATGGTGGAGGTGATGCTTTGCCAGTTCCAGGCCAAGTCTCTTGGAGGATCAATGGCTTTTGTCCTGTTACCTTGAAATCCTGAGTCACAGAAAAATGAAATACAACTGTCCTGCTTAGGAGAAGTCCTGAGATTATCAGAGGGAGAAGGGTCCTGCTGAGTGCAGCTCTGTGCCCCCAGCAGGTGTCAGCTCCCAGATGACCCTCAGCACCATGTGGAGTGGAAGGGTCAGCTGGGCCCTTCCTGAACTCCCCACTCGCCAGTGAAGTATTATTGGCTGGATGTTTTCTAAGTCACTAAGTTCTGGCTAGTTTGTTATGCAGTAATATATAATCAGAACAGGAAGTTACTATTATTTTCTCCATTTCAGAGGTCACGAAGTTTAAAGTTTAAGTCCCAGCTAATGTGCATGAGGTGGGAGTTTGAGCATAGGGTGCGTCTGACCCTAACATCTGTGCCATGAACCACTTGCTATGGTCAATGGACTGTCACTTATGCCCTTTGAACACCAGGCCACACATGGTGTGCAAAGTATGAGAAGGGGTAGAACTCCTCCATTCTCTTAACTCCTCTGGTGAATAAGGATACTCCAAATGACTTCTTCACAGGTTGACCTCAGGAGGCAGACATACGTGAAAAGAAGTGAAATTGCCTTTGTAGTATGACTTCTACATGCCAGGCTCTGTGCTGTGTGCTTCTTAAATGATATCTCAATTCTTCTTCCCGACCTCCTTGAGAAACATGGATTCTTATCCCAAGTTATAGAGCTGGGAATCAAAGTTCAGAGATGTTAAGGAACTTGCCCAGGCACTGAGCATTAAAGCTGAGGTAAGAACGAAGCTCCACCTGACTTTAAAGCCCACAGTCTTTCCATCTGGCCAAGCTGGTCAGCTTGTGATTCTACCTGGAAGATTTGTCACTAATCCCTCTTAAACTCTACCTTTTAGTTTAATGCCGTGCACCAGTTAAGGTCAGTATAAAGACCCTGGGTTCTGATTGTGTTATCCACCATATCAGATACTTCTCTCAGCTGCCATTCATCCTTCGTGACTCTGGGGTCACAAAGGGAAGCTTTCTCAAACATTTCATGTAGAGCATCAAGAATAAGTAATGCTTGGCTAGATCCAAAAGTGAGGAAGAGGGGCTAAGGTTGTGGTTCAGTGGTAGATCGCTTGCCGAGCATGTGTGAGGCACTGGGTTCCATCCTCAGCCCCACATAAAAATAAAATAAAGGTATTGTCTTCACCCACAACTAAAGGGTGACTCTGGCAGAGCTCAGGGTCCCTGCAAAGGCACAGAGGCATGAAAGGGCTGGGGACTGGGGGAGATGCTTATACAGGCTGCTAAATATATTCAATGTAACATATGTCATTGTGTTATGTATATACATGGATATATGTACAAAATGGTGTGAGTACATATATACACATTAACAACATTTACCTTTTGGAGGTAGATATGGTGACTTTCTTTTCTTCTTACTTACTTCACTTGCTAACTGTTCTGTGATGAACATTTATTATTTGAGTGATAAAGTATAAAGGAAAAGAAAGCACAACTCCATGCAAAATGAGCAATGGTTGTGGGAGGGTAGAGGATCGGGGAGGCAGGCAAGCAGGGCTCATGAGGCGGGAGAGGTGAGCTGGGCCCACCTCTGCATCACACACTGTTAGGAAAACCACCCTGGCTGCTGGTCTTCTAGCTCCCTTTCCCTGCAAAAACCTGGAGACTCAAAGTAAGAGCTTTGCCCCTAATTGAGAAAATAAACACCAAGACAAGGGAGTGGTGGCCGTGGTCCATGCAAAGAATCAAACCATTGATTAGCCACTGGCTTCTTTCTGCCATGTGCCACTCAATAAACACACTGGAAATAACGGAGACCTGATTAGCTGTCCTGGACAAGATGACAAACAATTATCCCACTCTATAACTGATGAGAGCAAAGGAGGCATGTAGGGAAAAGTCATGAACAATTTTAAATGAAGCCAACAGAAACAATATTAATTAAGAGAGGGATGGGGGCTGGTTGGGCCTCACCTCTGAGAAATGTGCTTTTGGAAAAATGACTCTACAGGAGTAAAGTGGCACAAATGGATGTTGATTTTCTTTCATTAGACCCCACAAGCTCAATGTGCCAACACTGTAGTTGTGAATCAGGCAGAGTCAGAAGGGGACACCTTCCATATGTGGATCAATTTCATTTCCCGAAATGTGCTATGACTTTTGAGCTCTTCATATGTAATAAACAGAAGCTCAAAAAAATAAAATGTATGTTTCCCACTACTTTAAAGAAACAGGGCTGGGCACAATGGCACAGGCCATTTCTCCCAGTGACTGAGGAGGTTAAGGCAAGAGGATCAAAAGTTTGAGGCCATGATGGGCTCTGTGGCGCATGCCTGCAATCCCAGTAGCTTGGGAGGCTAAGGCAGGAGGATTGCAAATTCAAAGCCAGCCTCAGCAAAAGCGAGGTGCTAAGCAACTCAGTGAGACTCTGTCTCTAAATAAAATACAAAATAGGGCTGGGGATGTGGCTCAGTGGTCGAATGCCCCTGCATTCAATCCCTGGTATAATAATAATAATAATAATAATAATTATTATTATTATTATTTGAGGCCAGCTTCTGCAACTTAGTGAGATCCTGTCTCAAAATAAAAAAAAAAAATAGAAAGGGCTGGAGAAGTAGCTCAATTCCTGGGTTCAATCCCCAGTACTGCAAAAATAGATATATAGCTGGGCACAGTAGTGCACACCTATAATTCTAGTGGTTTGGGAGGCTGAGGCAGGAGGATCTCGAGTTCAAAGGCAGCTTTAGCAACTTAGCGAGGCCCCAGGCAACTCACTGAGACTCTAAATCTAAACGAAATACAAAAAAAGGGGATGTGGTTGGGACTGGGGTTGTGGCTCAGTGGTAAAGCACTTGCCTAGAATGTGTGAGGCCCTGAGTTCAATCCTTAGCACCACATATGAATAAACAATTGTATAAAGTAAAAAATCCATTGGCAATTAAAAAGTATTTAAAAGTGGGGGAGAGATGTGGTTCAGTGGGTAAGTACCCCTTGGGTTCAATCCTCAGTACTGGAAAAAAAAAAGATATGTAGATAGGGTAGAAGATGAAGTGGCACCACTGTGTCCCCCAGGATACTCTGCCTTCAGTATAGAGAGCAGGGAAAGGCCATGTCCTCCCCACAGTCAATAGTGCTCATCTCAGAGTGGTAGGGTGACAGGTAAATTGAATTATTCTCTTTGTATCTTCCTGCATATTCTACAGTGAGCTCTATGGTTTTTATAATCATTAAAAATATTTCATTTGGGGGCTGTGACTGTGGCTCAGTGGTAGCACACTTGCCTGGCATGTGTGAGGCACTGGGTTCGATTCTCAGCACTGTGTATAAGTAAAAAAAATAAAGGTCTATCAACAACTAAAAAAATAATTTTTAAAAATTTACTAAAAAAAAATGTTTCATTTTGGAAAAATAGTGGCTAAGTAGTGGCTAGAGAACTCAGACTGACTGATTGTCCCTGAGCTGAGGGAAGCATTCCAACACATGGTTGGAATAAAGAAGAAATCTGGGGTGTTGGGAGCAGCACTGGACAGCGAGTCAGGAAAGCGGGGTTCAAATCTGAGTTGTGCATTTACCTGCTCCTGTGACCCTGAGCTAGGATCTGCTCTAATTCTTATTTTCCAAAACTCCTAGCAAGCCCCATCTCATGAAGGTATGAGGATTGCATAATACCACACATTGAAAGCCCTTGCAACCAACACTGATCCTCAGGGGTCACTAGGGCTTTGGGTATAAAGGGGATAGGACAGCAGGAGAGGATGAGGGGAGGGGAACTGGGGTTTATTGAGCACCCACCCAGGTCAGACAGGCCTGATGTTAGGCATAGGATGATGAAATCATGGTAGAAACAGGAGAGGAGAGGACCCCAATCAAACCAGAACTGAGAGCCTGCTTTTGTCACACCTGTGCCTGCTTCCTTTGCACACATGGCTCTCGCCTACTTCTACAGCTGCCCCACCCAGTGGGCATCATGACCATTTCAGAGAAGGGAGACAAGGGAGCGATGGTCCAGCCACTGGACCAAGGTCATCCCTTCCTTCAGGAAGCAGCAGGCTAGCAGCGGACCTCAGGTCTGACGGTTTCCACAGCCCACGCTCTTTCTGTCCCATATTCCGCTGCCATTTCTCATGCAGTCTGAGAATCACATCCTGAGGCTGTGCCCCTGAACCTGGCCTCTCTGATCAGGAAGGAGGCAGGGACACAGACCACCCCAACAGGCCACCCGAAGACCTCGGTCTCAGGTAGAATGGCCCCCGGCCGCCCAGGTCCCCAGCGGCCACCCCCGGCATGCACCTGGTCTCCAGCGGGATGTTGCTGTTGAGCAGCCAGTTGTCCTGGGCGTGGGCGGGCTCCTGGGCGCCGCCTGCAGGGGGCTCTCCAGAGAGGGAGTGGTCCGTGGGGGCGGGGCTGGGGTTGCTCCTCGGAGTGAAGTTGCCCCGATTCAGAGAGTTGATGGAGGCTGCGTGGTGCTGGTTGGGGGTGTGGGCATGGGAGAGCGGTGGCGGTGGAGTCCTGAGCCGAGGGTGGTTCTGCAGGCCTCCTGGGTGATCTGGAACACAAACATGGCCAGGTCAGAGGAGTAATGAGCTAGCTGGACCCTGCTCCTCGGCTGGAGGAGCAGCCCTGGAGGGCTGAACACATGGGGAAGGACTGAGACACTCTGGGTGTTAGCAATGATCTAGATTAAAGCATTCGATCAAGATTTAGTTGACCCATGTTCACTGAGCACCTACTATTCTAGGTATGTGTGTGGGGAAAGATGAACAGAATAAAAATTCTGGACCCAACCCATTGAGCTTAAATTCTAGCCGGGGAAAAAAACAGACAAGATTCAAAACAAAACAAAAAACTAGCTGCCCATGTCAGCAACTTCACTGTGCTTCTCTCATACTTTTAGAGCTTTAATTTTTAAAATGTGGTTCTGGACCAGAAGCTTCAACATCACCAGTGGGTGTGATAATGTGTTTGAGATGAAAGTTCTGGGTCCTTCTCTAGGCTTATTGAGCTTTGTGGTGAGGCCCAGTAATCTGATTTCACAAAGCCTCCAGGGCTGAGTTGATAAATATGAGAACACACAGAGTAAGGAAGGAGACTGTGGCCTGGGTATGCGCAGGCACTGCTGAAATCCTAGACCAAGTGGCTTCAGAGAGAAGATGACTTTTGAGTCAAGTGAGCCCTACTGGTGTCTGGGTGGTTAAAAACTACTATTAACATTTATTGAACACATACTATGTTAACAGGCACTCTTCTGAGCCCTCTACATGTAGTCATTCAGCTAATTTATCATACTGCAGAGCAGGTACTGTTTTTTTCTTCCCATTTTACAGATGAGGAGATTGAAATCAATCTTTTATTTATTCCTTTCAGTTATCCAGAGCAACAGGTATTATCATCATAAATTTATAAATGAAAACCTTAGTCTTGGAGCAGGTAGGTAAAGTGCCCAAGGGTATGTGGCTAAGTAGTTGCTATTGACAAATAAAGCAAATAAAATTCCTGGTGATGCGTGGATGTGGCCAGTCTAGAGGTAAATGTTTACCATCCAGATAAGCTATGTATACAGAGAGCTTAGTCTTTCCATGCTGAATATATTATGGGGTAAAGAAGTTAGGAAATTAGATTCTAGTGTAGATTCTGCCATTTATTAAACACATAACCACAGACAAGCCTCTTAACCTCTTAGAGCCAAAGTTTTCTCGCCTGCAAAATGGGACAGATAGTTTATTGCAAGGAATGACAGAGCTATGAGGAGATTAAATGATACAATCAGTGGGAAAGAAATAGTTTCGAAGTTCACAGTTTACAAAGTACTCTGCTTTACTTGTTGCTCATGAACATTCTTTATTTTGCAAAGGAGACAGTCTGAGAGAGCAGGATTCAAACCACAGTGGGTGCCATATTCCAGAGGGTGTGCTCTTTCTGGGATCAGTCTTTCAGCTTTCTGAAGACTTCAAGTACAGCGGAACACAAGGCCTCTCAGTGATGTGGATTTAGTAGTGGAAGATGCATCACTCTCTGCTTTTTAGGTAACCCCGTCTTTCATACCAAGGAGTTATAAAGCAAATCTGGTGTGGAATTTGGGGTGGGGGTGTTAGGAGAGAAAGAGAGAAGGAAACAGTCACTTCCCATGCAAGCTGCCACCTTCAGCATGAATCCTATATGGGCGATGGAGCCACTGGAATCTGATGCAGGCCTGTTGCTCAGCCTCACCTTTCCCCCGCTCCACTCCAGACACACTTCCTCTCAGAAGTCAGGAGTCCACTGAGGCAGTTCAAGTGTTTGAAACCTCAACCTCCATGAGGAGAGTTGCCAGGATAGCCACAGGATGTGAATGGTACCCCCGGAAGATGGGCAGTGCTAAAGTCCTGGGCCAAAAGGGAGCTAGCAGGATGCCCTTTGATGGGAGGGGACAGTACATGGAAGCCAATACGACCTGTCTGGTAGTGCCCCACCCCCACCCCCACCCAGAGAAACCTTGGGCCAGGGAGACCGCAAAAATGGACAGGGTCATTTGTTTAGTCTAGCTGTCCTCAGGCAGCACTTTAATGGAAACAGAGCCTGGGACAGAAGCCAGCAGAAGTAACTGCCTGGGCTGACTGGCTGCCCCCACCCCAGCCCACCAGAGTAGAGAGGGGCAGTGACTAATCCAGTATGGCCAGTGGTGCTCAGGAAGCCAGCTGGGAGAGATAACCCAGTCCTTGCTCCTGCCCCCACCCAGGAGTCAACCTCGAGGTGAGTCACTTGATATTAATAATGGCTGTGACGGAAGTGAGCCCCTACTCTGTATGTTTTCACATTCTTAACTTTTCTGATGTGCACAGCAACCTCTAGAGGATGGTGCTCACATCATTCCCATTTTACAGGTGAGGTTGTTGAGGCTTACCACTAGTAAGTGGTCCTCATAAATCCAAAGACTAAATTCTGTCTTCTAAGCCTTGTGTAAAACACAGGCTGTCTTAGTCCATGGCTGAAGGCAGTAAGAATGCCCTCAGGGAAGAAAGTAGGGTCTGGGGTCTGACAACCTGGTCTGTGAGCCTACACATTTGCTTTGTGATTTAGTAAGGACCTCAGGCTAGACCTTGATACTGTTCAGAAGCCCGTCAAGGCTGCTGATCTGCTGAGATTTCAAGTATAAGGTCACTGGTCACAGATCTAAAAACTCACTCTAAAAGAAATTTCTCCTGTGGGGACAAGGAAAGTTCTGGTCCAAATCCTCTATTTTCTGAAGCTGAGTTCAATTGCCGCCTATCTATTGCCTCCCTAGGTCCCTCCCCAAGTTCTCTTCTCCTCAAACACCAGGTACAGCGGACCCACCCTCTCCCCACTGTCTCCTTGGGGATCATGTGCACTTTTGTCCCTATTCTGCCTTCCTAATAGATGTGAATACCCTGTGGCTCTGTGTGGGGCAACTGCAGGTCCCAGAACTGAGTGGATGGGCATGACAGGCTTCTTGAGTGGGCAGCTTATGTGAGTGGCCTGGGCAGTCTGTCCAGGAGGGTATTGTTCCTTTGGAGTATGTTTGAATAGGAAAAAAGATAGGCGACCACCCTGGACCCTCCAGCCCTTGGGCCCACACAGGCCCTTACTTACTTGCCTGGAGCCAGAGCTCCAGATGCTTGGCTGGGCCCTTCTCCTCCTTCCCTCACCATTTCTGCTCTGAGAATCTTAAGAAAGGGGACCTTGCTGTCCCCAAGGGGAAAGCTCTGTATTGGGCGGCTCAGCAATGGAAACCTCACTTGCAAAGCTCTTTCACAAGGAGCAAATGTCTCCCCTGGTCTGCACCCTCCTTTCTGCTCCTGTGGCCAGGAGGGAAGGCAGGGGAGAGAGGACGGAGGCGCCTTCTTTGACCTCCTCTCCTTCCCGTGCTCCTCTTCAGAAGGAATTTGAATGAATTCATGCATTCTGCATTTACCGAGCGCCTGTTCTGGGCCAGGTCTTGTAAAACAGGATGCTGGGAATGAAACAGGATATATATATATATATATATATATATATATATATATATATATGGCTTAAGAGACCTCTCTTCTGGTTTCCATTTACTGGCCAACAACTCACTTCCCCTCCTCAGTCTGTGGTTGGTGCATTTGTGGGAGGGGCCATGTACTCCGCCTTCACCACCTCTGGATGATGAAGAGTCATGGCTTTTGCTCAAGTGCCAAGTGTACAGTGGAGTCCTGAGGGAGGGGCTCACACCCTCTTGACTCCATATCTCCAGTGGCAGAACAGAGCTGGGCCTGGTGCATGGGAAATCCTCAGCATGTGGTGGGGAGAGCAGCAGGTGAGGGGCTTGGCCCTTGTGCCTGCTCAGGTTCCTTCTTCTCTCCTGCTGCCTGGGAGTAAGCATCCATGCATTTACAAAGCTCTGCTGCAAGTTCCAATTTACACCCTCTTCTTGCAGGTGAGGATACCAACTGCGTCTCTCCAGCAAGCCCGATGTGACTCTTTTTACTGCTATTTGTGCATAGCGTTGTCAATAAAGGTCTCTTGCTTATCTGAGTTTTGCAAGCACAGTTTTCTAGGGAGATTTTTTCTTTTTTCTTCCTACAAGTTCTCAGGGATATTTGCAGTTGCTGGTGGCCTCCAACACCTCAGACATTTCAAATTTTTTTATGCACACAAATCCAGAACACCAAAAGCTACTTGCTGCTTCTTCCTGAACAGAGATCATAGGGAGCCTCCTTCAGAGTTCTATGCCCAAGCAGTAAATCACAAAAAGGGATTGGATCTTGGTGTTAGACATTCCATAGTTCAAGTTTTGGTTATGCTACTTAGAAGCTTATAAACTGTGTGACCTTAATCAAGTCACTTAATATCTCTGGATTTTAGTTTTATAATCTAAACAGAGATAATACCTACTTTACAGTGCCGCAGTCTGGCTGGGCACAAATGCCGCAGTCTGGCTGGGCACACAATCACGAGCCACCACACAGCTTGTAGATTCAAACAGCAACTCTTCTTTCCCGAACTCACACCAGCCGTCTACAATCACGTTCTGGGGAAATCCACATTCTCTGCCCAAATCCACCTTCTCTCCCAAATTCACCTCCACTGGGCTTCTATCTCCAAAATATACTGTCTGAATCCCGTGAGAACTCAAGGGGAACTCAGGCAGCAGGATACGCCCTATTCCCAGCAGGAATAATCTTAAACCTTAAACCTGGAACCTAAACTGGGAACGCCCTAAACACGATTATCTTAAAACCGGGAACACCCTAATCTGCCTTGGTCCTTGAGCAAGGTTAAGTACATTCAATGTCACTGCAACATGGGGTACGCTGGCAAGGAAATTGTCATACCTACTTGGCTAATGGCTCCCAGCATCTCCCCCCTTCTGATTAATTAAACAAGCAATGTGGCTTAAGGACCGTGCCTGGTAGGTTGTCCAATTCAACATATGGTTCTTACCCGTCATCGGAAAACTGACCTTTAGGTGTCAGCCTCCTGTCTTAGGTTGATACCACTGCAATTGAATCATACCCGTCACTGACTACCGGTCCAGCATACAGCCATACTTGTGGATAGGTCTATGCACCAGTGGAGGGGTGA